GACAATGAAGACCTGGAGTAATGATGCTGAAAATTCAGCTTTTTCACAGCAATAAATTACATTTTAACACATATTCTAATAGTATACAGCTATTCTAAATTGTAATAATATTTAACTGTTTTTACTGTATTTTGCAGCCTTGGTGAACAGAAGAAACTTCTTTCAAAAACATTGAAAAATCTCAATATATTCCAAACTTTTGACCAGTAGTGTGTAAATACTTTAGCATTTTTATAATATATTTTTTGCATTGCAGTGTTGAAAATTTGAGGGAGAACTTGCTTGATATTCATGAAAATGACAATTAAGCACAATTTTTATCCATTCTGCAGCTCAAGATAAAATGCACTTCAGCGCTTCCTGATGCCATGTGTTATTGACCCATTGAAGGCCTTATTACACTGAGATGTGATTGTGTTGATGGACAGATAAGCGTTGATGATGTGATTCAGTCCAGCTGCAGTCAAATGCTGACCAGCATTTATATGCACATGTGGATCCAGCGCCACGACAGACATTGAGCTTTATGTCCATCTTCATCAGTGCCGGACAGCTCAGTCCATACAATACAATCAGTCCAGAGACTGTCCCGTGTGTTTCATTTCATCAATCGCTTTTGTATGATTGAGTTAATCTCATGTGTGTTTGATCCGTTCACATGACGTGAGTCTGCAGGTGTGTGTTTGGACGCTTATACAAAACACTGATTTCTGATATTTGTACTTCCAGCAGAGTTTTATTCATCGTCAGATCAAATACATTCACTATTAAATGTTTGTGTTTATGTCAAGACTCCTCATTCTCACACAATTCCTGCTGTTTGGCTTGGAACACTGTATGTGACACAATATGACATCTGACAGACAATAAATCCTCCAATCATTTAGTTTTGGATATGAAATAGTAACACTGAATCCCTTCAGCTCCATTAGAAGCACATATTTATACTGCAAGTGTGAATGCGTGTGTGGCGTCAGACTCCTTTTTGCTTTCTCTTTTCAGAAGGAACAATGGGATTTTGGGCCGTTTTTATAGCTTGACAATAATACTTGAAAAACAGAAGTGGGAAACACTTCAAACTGTGAAGATGCACATTGTGAGAACAAAACGTTCAAAGACAGCTGAATTTTTCATGAAGAATATAATAAAACTGTGAGATTCAGCACAGTCTCTTGTCTTTGATTCAGTACGAATGTGGCATCGCTGCATTTTATTTGTTTTGCATCTTTTAGGTGCATAAAGATCAAATATTAATACTCTGATGAAAGTAGTGAGAGATACAAGAGCTGCAGGATTAATAAAGACATCGACAACCAAACACACGAACACAAGAGCATGACTGAAGAACGAGAGACTGTATTATTACAGATTTATTACAGTTTTTTATTATTAGTCCCATCAAGCTCAAAAGTTCAACCCTGCTATCAGATTACATTTTTATTGAAAAACCAACATTGTTCTAGTTACAACTCAAGAGATTAATGATACTGATGTGCAATGTTATTTATTTTTGGAGTTTGTTTATTTTTTTTTTCAAAGTTATATTTATGGGTGTTTTCTGCTTTTATTGGGACAGGACAGTAGAGAACTGACAGGAAAGCATTGGATGGAGAGAGAGGGGGGCGGGATCAGCAAAGGACCTCGAGATGGGATTCGAACTCGGGTCACCGTGAGCACAGTTGCGTTGTATAGCAGCGCACTAACCACGAGGCTATTGGTGCCAACTGATAAAATTAAAAACTTTTATTCATCAAGGAAGCATTAAATTGACCAAAAGTGTCAGTAAAGACGTTATAAAATATTTCTATTTCAAATAAATGCTGTTCTACTGAACTCTCTATTCATCCGTGAATCCTGAAAAATAAAATGTATTATGGTTACCGCTAAAATAATCAGCAGCACAACTGTTTTCAACATTGATAATAATCAGAAATGTTTCTGGTGCAGGAAATCAGCATATTAGAATGATTTCTGAAGGATCATGTGACACTTCAGACTGGAGTAAATGATGCTAAAAATTCAGCTTTGTTCACAGGAATAAATGACATTTTACAATATGTTTGAAATAAATGCAACCTTGGTGAGCAGAAGAGAATTCTTTCAGAAACATTAAAACAACTTATTTAGCCCAAACTTATAGTATAAATGCTTTTACAGTGGTTGTGATTTATTAGTCACACTGGCGGCAGATCTTCCTGTATTCTCACTGTAAGCAGATAATCTGCAGACGGTTTCATCACAGTCTCCAGTGGATTTAAGCACGCTTGATAATGGAGCGTATTATACTGTTATCCGTGGATGAAGACGAGGCTTAAACTAGAGAGAGACAGAGATTAACAGACTCAGTCCCAGACGCAGACAATCCAGCGGCATGATGGGATTGATCTCTATCTGATCATCTGCAAACAAGATGAAAATACAAACTAGACAGTGACTGAAGAGCAGACGCTCACAGAGCTGCATGCACATTCGTCTGCATTCACTGCTATATTTACACGCTTCTCTCCTGCACCTGTCCCATTCTATAAACACGTATAATCTATAAGATAATAATACATACAGACGCCAGACACTCATGTGGGAAAACAAAACCTCTAATACCTGAGGAACTAGAGGATGATGCTAGTCAATGCATTTTGATGAAGTGCAGACAGGGTCAAAGGTCAATGAGCTTAACACACATCTATCAACCTCAGCAACAAACAAACAAAGATGGGATCAGGGGATGCCGGGTAAATTTTAAGTGTAGTTTCAAGCAAACTGTTTTTTCAGGTTCAAGAAGATAGCTGTTTTTAGCTGTGTTCGATGCAATGGTAACTTACACTAAACCGCTAACCAAAACTGGAGCTGTGAGCAAACTGACATATCTGAGCTCACAGTGAAAGTGTTTTAGAGAAGAAATCACCTGGCTTCTGCTGCTAATTATTGATTACTTACTTTTTTTTTTAAAGTCACAAAATAAACCCAAATTTACGTGTAGTAGCTACTCAGAGTGTCGAACCCACCTTGAGTGATTCCACTGATATTGTTCTACGGTGTCGTGACTCTGATATTCTCTTTGAGGAAACCATAATGTTGGACTGTAATCAACTCCCATCAGAACACTCAGGCAACCCTCTACATTGCGAGTAAATCACTCGCATATGCGACTAAATGATCGCCAGTGTGTGAGTTGGAGGCTGAGTATAAGTTTAGCACATACATTTTCATTCGCCAAACACACTGACTGAGCGCTTCAGAGTTTCACTCTACGTCAAGCGATCTGTGATATTTTTCAGTTCATCTCAATGGATGCGCAGCGCACCTGTGTTTGTGTATTTGGCGTACCGTAAACTCTAGTGTGAAGCTGCACTACTCGCCGTCGCTTTCTCTCACTCGCGCAAAGTGAGAGAGAGAGAGAGAGAGAGAGAGAGAGAGAGAGAGAGAGAGAGAGAGAGAGAGAGAGAGAGAGAGAGAGAGAGAGAGAGAGAGAGAGAGAGAGAGAGAGAGAGAGAGAGCGAGAGTCTTATATAACATGCAGAATTGATGCGCTACATGTAAACGCTATTCTTTGTTGTATTTCCGTCAAAATAACGGAGTTCCTTTGGAATTCTTCAGCATTTAAGAACTGCCGGGTTCTCCGGTAGTGGGCGGCGCTAATGCGCAAACGGCAATCTCATTGGCTGGCACTCACTTATTATCGTCCCTGTTTTGATTTCAGCAAATCAGTTCGAGCGAACGCACACAACCTGATTAATATTCATGAGTCCAGCAGCTCTCGTTAATCCTTGGTGCGTTTCATATTGTTCTTATTAGTAGAATTTGTATAATAATAATATCAGTATTATCGTTAGTTTTTTCCAATTTTTTACAGGAACACTGAATGACCAAAAAAAGCACCACCACCAGTCCTAAGTTCAGTTAAAATGACTAATTTGCATTCATACATGGTTACCAAGTTTTAACCAGTTTTCTATTTTCTAACCAGTTTTCTATTATTAAATAATACTTGATTATCATATTATAATGCTTGACTGCTTGATGTTAAGAGTGTACTTTCAGATATTTAACAGTCTGGCAAGTAAACAAAAAAATGTACTAGGGTTGGAACAGCCCGACATTAATAAAACACCACGGCTGATCTTGCTTTCCTGAATCTGACTCTCATTATCCGGGAGGGATTTACAGATATGATGGAAAACAAGGGCAGGATTACTGAGGTGCTTTATCATCATCATCATCATCATCATCATCAGTGAATCTGCTGCAGGATCCACCTGTTCTCAGTCAAACATCACAAACAACCTGCAGCTTTGTGCTTGTTGAATAAAAGCAAAGTCCGTCATAAACGACAGATGAAGTGAGTCTGTAGAGTTCAGACTCTCTTCTAGAAGAATCTCAATCTGGATGTCCTTTCACAGGCATGTGGAGACACTGCTGTGATGATAAGCGTCTGAGTGACTGTGACACACACACAGTATTTATCAGGTCAGGAATGAATCATATGTTAAGATTGAACCATTAATATTAAGGCCTAAATTTAAGATTTATATATTTGAATTGCATAGAAAATGTCCATGCATTTGGATTTCATGTTTTTAAACAAACGAATAAACTTAATGTGATATATATTTGTCAGTCACACACAAATGAAACGAAAGTCATATTTCTTTAATAGTTCTAATAAACCGATTATGTTTTACATACACAACCAGTTTTCTGTATTTATCATCAATAAATCCAATTCAATTGTTTCTCCAATGAAAAGATTTATCTTGATTCTGAGCAAGTACAATAAATGCATTCTGGAGAAATTAAAATGAAATAAATGCAAACAGCTGATAAATTAATAAATTATAAATAAAGTTTCTTTGACGTATGACTGACAAACATGCATCTCATTAAATTTATTAGTTTATGATAAACCTGTAATCCAAATTTTATATGCGATTTAAACATAAATCTTAAATTTAGGCTTAAATATAATTTGGAGTGTGACATTAAAAGACAGAAATGAGGCGTATGGTCAACATCGCATGCGTTTATTTTTCATTGCGCAGTTAAAACAGAAGAAACTGAACTGAACATAAAACAGGAGGACATTAGCACACGTTAAGAACACGAGCGTTCACGGCACATTCGATCTTGCGCACACACTATAAAACAACTGCAGATCAGATCAGATGACATCAGCATTCACCGATCAACTCCTCCAACTGTTGAACGTCTGAGACGACGGCCTGGAACACATCATCAGATGTGAATGTGTGAGTAGAACACCGATGGATGTGTGTGAATGACACAACACTTACTGGTTGGTGCTGGTGTTCCCAAAACCTCCAAAACCTACAGACAAACAAGACACAATGAGAGAGTCAGACTTCATCAGTAATGACGGGTGAAAGTGAAGCAGTAAAGAGGTCTGGAGTGGGTTTATCACTGTAACTAGGTAACATGTGACACTCTGTGAGCAACACTCGAGTCTGTCTGCAACGGATATATCGCAGAGATAAGAGCTCATGAGAGCTCATGGGAAACAGCTGCGACTGAACTTCATAAAACTCAAAACCAGAGCTGTTATTGGTAACTCAAATTAAGTGTGATGTGACATGTGGCCAAGTATGGTGACCCATACTCGGAATTAGTGCTCTGCATTTAACCCATCCAAAGTGCACACACACACAGCAGTGAACACACACACACTGTGAACACACCCGGAGCAGTGGGCAGCCATGTTTTTGCTGCGGCGCCCGGGGAGCAGTTGGGGGTTCGGTGACTTGCTCAAGGGCACCTCAGTCGTGGTATTGAAGGTGGGAGAGAGCGCTGTACATTCACTCCCCCCACCTACAATCCCTGCCGGTACGAGACTCGAACCCGCAACCTTTGGGTTACTAGTCCGACTCTAACCATTAGGCCACGACTTCCCCAAAAATTACAATTAAATCACTAAATAAAGCTATTAGTAAGTTTAGGTTAAAGTAGGGCTGGGCGATATGGGCAAAAATTAATATCTCGGTATTTTTGGGCCGATTTGCGATATACGGTATATATCTTGGTATTTTTGTTTTTGTATTTGTATTTAAAAAAAATCTGTATTTAATATATATATTTCACTTACCGCCCCAATGTTGTCCAACAAAACAATACATATTAAAGGCTATGAAAACAAAGTGAATGTAACCATGTAAACCTTTATATTATGTGCAAAAAACAGTTAAAATCACATTTCATTCTAACATTGTAACATTGCAATCTAAAAACTAAAATAAGGCTTTTAAAGCAGAATTAAAATTCACTAAACTAAAAATGAAAATAAATGAGAACAAAAGCACAGAGTTGTTAGGCTATTTTGATTTACCCCATTACAGTCAGTGCTATCATAAAAATAGACTTACTTGTAGGTTTCAAAATTCTACGTCACATTTATTGTCCAACTACAAATATTTCAGTGAAATGTATATTTTAGTCAGAATTATTGTGCTCCTATTTAATTGAGCTCTGTCTGGTGCGCATGCCGGCGCTCGTTCACTGAAGTCTGTGAAGTTTAGCGGAGAATCAAAGCAGAAGGCTCATGCACGTCTGACAGAAAAATGGAAATATTTCCATGGCTTTCTAACATTTACAGATGGAGAATATACCTGTGAAATGTAAGTTATGCATTCAGGAAGACAGCACATCTCAAACACATTAAACAGCGCGAGTAGCAGCACGCAGCATTTCTGTCAGAGCATATGATGGGCCGAGCCGCTTAAACTAATATGCGAAACGAAACTATAAACTATGTCTTACCAGTTTTTAAAGGCCTTAATATGAAGCTTGTCACATGTTTAGAACAAATTGGATTATGCACTTTCTCCGCAGTAGCTCAGTCTGTGTCCTCTGCTATATTTTCAGATGTGCTTGTATCAAACTACTGTAACTTATATCGATATAAACGGTATTGCCTCATATCGAATCGCTTATAAAGAAAATATCGATATATCGTACAAACTCGATATACCGCCCAGCCCTATGTTAAAGTACTAAAATTGCTAAAAAAAAAAATTTTTTTAAAACAAAAGCACAAATTTACACACTAAAATTAGAACCACTGACACACACAACTTAAAAAAATAAAACTAGGTTGAAGTACTACAATTACTAAAAATAAAGCTAAATAGAAATATATAAAAAAAATCCAGATTTATTTACAAAAGCACAAAACTAAAATTAGAAACATTGTCTTGCCAACTAACTGAAATAAAATATTGAAGTAAAACTGACAGAAGCACATAAACTAAAATTAGAAATGTTGACTTCGAAAATAACTGAAACTGAAAAAAAAAATTATATTGACAAAATTAAAAGTAAAATGAAAATTGAAAATATATATAAAAAAAAATCCTAATTCAAAACATCGGTCACCCAAATGTCGTTCCAAACACGTAAGACCTTCGTTCATCTTCGGAACACAAATTAAAGACATTTTTGATGAAATCTGAGAGCTCTCTGACCCTCCATAGACCGCAATGCAACTGACATGTTCCCAGGTCCAGAAACGTAGTAAGGACATCGGTAAAACAGTCCATGATGTGACATCAGTGGCTCAACTTCAATTTTGCGAAGCTACGAGAATACTTTTTGTGCGCAAAGAAAACAAAAATAACACTTTATTCAACAATTCTTCTAGTGGTCAAATATATTTGAAATTTTTCACATATCGGCATCGGCCGATAAGTTTTTCTGTTTGGCCGATGCGTTCGAGGCAGGACTTTTATTTTGACAGCGCTGAGAAGAACGGTAGCGCCTGAACACACAGTGCTCACATTCTCCCTCTGCTTAACAGTTCTGTCTAATACGGATAGAAGTCTTGTCTAATAATCCGATAGAAGGGTTAGACAAAGGAATTAAAATGTATACAAAATATTATATAATTAGTAATAGAAAGGCAAACATAATACGTTCTCGTTTGCCGTCAGCATTCAGCAAATACGCATTTATATCATTTAAACAAATCTTTGAATGAATAATGAACATTTAATTTCACAAACCTTGCAAACTCAGTCGAATCCTGTTGTGAGATCATGTGAAGTGTGCATGTGTATTCTGCATGATCGCATGTTCTCTGCGTGACGGTCGGTCCGTGTGAATTGAATGCGGACAGGAGGAGAGTTCTGCTTGACTGGAGACGCACGATCGACAAACTTTATGCCCACTGTCATATTCATGTAATTTTCACTGTGTGCTGTATGTAAACTGAGTGTTACCTTGGCTTTATTTGAAAACATATGATTCCCATATCATCTATTCTAAAGTATAAGTATGTTTATTTTACACATTTATTTTTTAATCCATTTTCAAACGATTTCAAATTTCTTGAATATTAAATTAAAATAAATAAAATTATATCGGCCATCGGCCACCATGCTTTCCAAGATATCGGCATCGGCAGTAAAAAAAAAAAAAACACATATCGGTCGACCACTAAATTCTTCTCACCGAGTCACCGTCTTCCACCATTTTGGAGAATACCATGACGCATGCGTGCGCTTTTCCCAGAATATAATCAACGCAATCAGCACATGCTGAACGTAAACAACGCTGATTACGTTCTGGGGTACTCTCCAAAATGGCTGAAGACGGTAACTCGGTGAGAAGAATCGTTGAATCAATTTTGTTAGTATTGTTTTCTTTGCGCATAAAAAGTATTCTTGTAGCTTCGTAAAATTACAGTTGAACCCCTGATGTCACATGGACTGTTTTACCGATGTCCTTGCTATGTTTCTGGACTTGGGAACATTGCAGTTGCATTGCGGTCTATGCAGGGTCAGAGAGCTCTCAGATTTCATTAAAAATATCTTAATTTGTGTTCCGAAGATGAACGTAGGTCTTACGGGTTTGGAACGACATGAGCGTAATTAAAGACCGAATTTTCATTTTGGGGTGAATTTAAATAATGACTTTATTTGTTCATTATGAGCAATGTTCCCTCTAAGCTGCGCGGCCGCACAGAAGTAGTAATGTGCCGCGCACATGCAAAAATGAGTTGGGAAAGCCATTTGATTGTATTCTAGTAAAAACGAAAGAATTGCAATGATCGGGTAAACCGCTATAAAGTTGATGTCGCTAAAGAGTTAGAACCGGTGAATGCGGTTTACAGGTTTTATAGAAAGAGAATGATGTGCACCAAATGAGTCGCTGTAGAAACTGAATACTTCAATGGTTGCGGACGAAATAGCTCAACACGAGACCCAACGCAAACGCAATGACATGTGAAATAAAACGTCCTCATGTTTTAAAGAAGAGTGGCTTGATTAAGTGCTGGAAATAGCGGATGATATGATGCATTTAAATGAGTGTTAATACGCCCAGCGCTGCTGTGTTTACAGTGGTAACCAAGGAAATGCTGTATCACTGTTCCATAAGCGCCGCCTGCTGGCAGAGAGTGAATCTGCGTCTCATTCAGCCCACCTGCTGTTTCTGTTTCATACAGATGTTTTATGTAGCATAATTTCACAAAGCTAAAGTCAGGTCATTCTGTTTTTGCTTCAGATTTTGTCTTTAGTCTAATATAAATCAAACATTGCACTTTTTTTTTCAATTCATGATTAAAATGCAGTGGTTGCCTCTAATTTCAAATGGCTATGAAAAATCAAGGTGCAACACAGAGTGAAGAATATGCAAATGCTATTTTATATGTGATTTTTCAATTTCTGTACCTGAACATCTACAAACATAAAAACCTAAAGCATCATTTAATTTCTATTATTGTGCTATAGGCCTATATTTAATTGTGCTATTACTGGTAATTTGTTCATTTGTTCTTATTTACTGGCTGTCACTTGTCTTTAATAATGTTTAAACTTTATATTTATGTTTATTTTTGGCTAGTGATTTTTGCTGTGGTATCGAAATTGAAATAGAGAATTGTAAAATTTTATTGGTATCTAAAACATTGTTGTCAATCTTATTTATTAGAATACAAGATAACAGATCAAAAAAACAATTATAACAGCAACTATTTTATTTTTTGTGGCAGGGCCAATGAAAATGTTGGCAGGGCAATTAAAAATTTTAAGTAGAAAAAAATCCTTAGCGTTGGTTGATCCCTGTAGTGTATATTGTAACACAAAATTTCTATTTTGAATAAACGCTGTTCTTTTTAACTTTTTATTTATCAAAGAATTCTGAAAAAAAGTATCACAGGCCCCAAAAATATTAAGCAGTGCAACAGTTTCCAACATTGATGATAAATCAGCATATTAGAATAATTTCTGAAGGATCATGTGACACTGATGACTGGAGTAATGACTAATAAAAATTCAGCGCTGCGTCAAATAAATAAATGATATTTTAAAGTATATCAAAACAGAAAACTGTTATTTTAAATTGCAATAATATTTCACAA